CTGCTGCTATGAAATCCCTGTAATTAATAAGTAATTGAACTTAACCAACTCAGCATGAAGTACAAATACGAAAGGATCAGGAGGTATCGCACAGCTCAGCATGGGCAGAACCAACCCCAAGAACCACAAGACAACAGGGAACATGCTGAGAACGATACACCTCGACAGGCGGAGGAGAAAGCCCTCAAGGAGAGTTAACCGATGTCCATCCACAAACACATGCTCAAAGTTTAAGGGTTAGGGGTTTTTTTTTGGGGGGGGGAAGATCAGTTTCAACGCAGCTGAAGCATTCCCATGGAAAGATGTTTTCAGGCTCACGTTACAATTCTTGCTGTCGACAAAGAGCTGCCGCACAGCCCTGGACAACCCGAGGTCCCCGTGACCAAGAGGAAGAACCACCAAGCAGCAGGTCCCGTCCCCAAGCGTGCGCTTCCATCTCTGCTGCCTTCTGCCAAGCCGCACGGCTGCCGGGGAGGAAGGCAGGCCCCCAGCTCCAGAGAGAACCCCGGTCCCGTCCCAGAGAAGCCCCCTGCCCTCCCCAGGAGGGTCTCCACGTTGAAGACTGAGGGTCCCACTCACCGGAGGAGGGTTCACACCCTCGCACACCTCGTCCCAGCCCGTGGGACAGGGGCATCCGTAGCTCACCCAGCCCAGCACCAGTTTCTGCCAGCACAGGGGCCCTTCCTCCTGTTCTCCCCCCACAGACTTTCCGGGGTGAGGTCCCCCTTCCTTCCAGCCACCTCCTTTCACATCTCCTAACCTACTTCTCCTCCTTACCAGGGATCTCTCCCAGGAACAGCTTTTCTCTGGGACCTCAGTGCCTCCCCACACAAATTCCCCGTCGTGGCCACCCCCTGCCACCAGCCTCTTCCCGGCCAGGGAGGCAGATCCGTGGACGTGGCTCCTACAGATATCTCTGCTGCCTACGAGCCCATCCTGCTCTGCAATCCAAGGGATGCCCCCCAAAACAAAGGGGGGGGGGGTAGAATCCCTCTGGGATGAAGGGGACCCCAGATTCATCCCCCAAGGGAGGGGCTCTTTCCTGCGGGTGTGACCCTCAATCCCTCCACACACCCCAAAAAGAAGGGGATCCTGTAAAGAACCCCCTAAACAATGAGTGTCTTGCCTTCCAGGAGATGGAGATTGTGTCCCCCCCATCCCCTAAATCCCTCAGGCAGGAAGATGTCGGCCCACAACTCCCTGTGGAAAGAGGTACCCTAAAACCCTCAACGTGAGGACGAAGGCAGCCCACACCCCTCTCTGCACCAAGGGCTCCCCGTGGTGAGGCTGGCTCACCCCCCTCATAAGGCGTCCCCAAAGCCCCCAGTGAGGGGAGGCCAGCGCC